TCAATGCGCAATGGTTCATAGACTGTAATTTCGTAAACAAGTTTGGATAATATTATTACCCCTTTGGAGGCTTATTATAATAAACCTCCTATGCAGATGCAATGTTACTATGGAAATTAATCAGATACCTGAACCTGGTAGTTAATTTCTACGGAAAATTTTCATAGAAGATTATCTATCAGGGAGTTACCTATTGGATAAGTTTAACTGGACCGTCAAAAACAGCTGGTGTTCAGATTTTCAATACGAATGTACGTACTATGCAACGGTAGGTCTAAATTTGAATTTATATTTTCTAATTTTATGGAGATAGGTAAAATTAAAAATTTTTGAAATTTCAAGAATTAGAGCAGGTTAGGTATTACATATCATACAAAATGTATAGGGTGTCGGAATTTAGAGGGCCGATTTTCCAATAAATTATGTGGCTAGTGGAATTTTAAGAGTAAAACTTTAAGCATTTGGTGAAATGAAGCTTGTCCGTTCTGCGTCTTTTAATTTCTGCAGAGCATTGTTTTCATAATGGGTTCCGGATGCCTGGAGACGAGATGTAGTTGTAACTATAGCTAAAATGGATATCTTCATTGGCCTTATCTACTCCAAACTGCTGACTAAGCATAAGATCATTTCAGTATCGTGGAAAATGCAACGTGATATATGTTAGTCATACGTGGGATTTGATTTATTACGCTCTGATGGGATTCGTAGAGAGGATCTAAACAAAGAAATCAACGATTAAAGATGCCCGACTTTGTTAATAAGAAACCATTTTGTAGGCGTTCATTGGTCAGTAAGAAATTAAGATGGAAACTTTGTCGGAATATTTTTTTCGGAGTCATTCGGTGCTGCTTATCCATGGCTACGGGTGAGATCGCACGCTAGCAAGGAACCTCATTGGTAAAAATATAGCTTCCTTTCGTGAAAGCGCACAAGATATAACGTTTTCGGTGATCGCCAACCGTGATGTGTGAACCGTTTGGTGAAATTCATATTCGAATTTGAAATTTGGGATGCCGGCTATAACAAACGATTAATTATTTCTGGCTACAGAAATTAACCCATTGTATATTACGTGTCAAAATTACGTTGGGAGAGATCAAGGTGATAGTATAATAAAAAAACCAATTATGTAATGAACAATAAAAAAACACTAGTGATCTGTATACGCAAAAATTTCATTGCGTTTTCCATTTTCGGGGGAATTTTCGAGCTAGGGTGATCTCAGAGGTATCCATTTCCCAGAGGAAACCGATTTAATTTTGTATGCACAAATTCAGGAGAAAATTGTAAGCGACGTGGACTATGGATAGAGATTTGTTTTATTTATCAATATTGCTGTGTACAATTGCTCAAATTACTAGTATTTTTTCTCTCTTTTTAAAATTCTCCTTGAATTCTTCTCAGGGCATATCTGGGTTTCGACACAAACAAAAATCTTAACATTGACATTATAAGTTTGAAAAAGACCTCAATCAAAATCTGTAAGTTACCATGAAATTAATTACTCAAATTTTGAATTGAAATTAACAGATAAAAGGAATTTGTAAAATCAAACAAAACGAAACTTTACCTGGATTTCAAATAGGGATTTAAATTGACACACAATTGATTAATAACAACAAATTACAAGAATTTATTACACACACAACCCGTTTACAAAACGGACAATTAAAAAAAACAGTGATGTACTCTTCTATTAAATCGACCGGCAAACAGCATTATGACGAGACATCCGACTTAGGCTAAATAGCAACGTCGTTCTTCATACTTAACGGCCAAGCTCACGCCCGCATCTGCCTATGTTATCTCGCACATGACGTTGTTAGTAAATAAATCCAATTAATTTGTCCGATAACACCTTTACAAAACCTCTGGCCGGAAAAAAATTTTTACCTTACATCGAAATTACAATTAATTATTTCCTTTATTTATTTGTTCTAAGATTTATGACACTAAATACAACAAATACAATTAATTGACTTAAACAATTTCCTTCTAAATTCGAAATTTAAAAAACTAACATTAAAGTGACACTTTAACAAATTTTACAACTCTGTGTCTTTTTGAACGAAATTCCCCTTAGTTGGCAAAACGTAATTTTTTTTTACTACGGGGTGGTTTGCTTCTCATCTTCGGAATTGTTTCAACCTAGAGTATAAACGACACCCCTATGTAGTTTACACAATATACTAAAAAAAATTAAGTTTCAAGTAAAAATGAAAAGGAGCTGTTTTCCAGGTATTAAGATAAATTAACCGCGTTAATGTTCAACGAAAAATCGACGTTTCGGTCACTTTCGCAAGGGGCTTCATCAGGACAAGAATACAAAAATCAAAAACAAAAATAAAATAGCAGAGTGCGCAACCAATGCCAACTTTCTTATTTATGTAGTATTTTTTTTTAAATTTTAATCACAGACAATACCAGTGAAGATAAATTCTATGTCAAGTTTCTTACTTATGAAGACATTGTTTTTTTTTTATATAGGCACTATAGCTGGTTTTAATAAAAACAAACGCAGAGCATGCGTGGACTCGGCAATAGCAACTTTCTTATCAATGGAGATTTACCTTCAATTTTAACCATAGAGTGTGGCGTAACCTTCAAAAAAGCGCATCCAAAAAGAAAGCGTGCCATAACTACCTTAATTTCTATGGAAAATTCGACCTTTTCGTCCCAGAAAACGGAATGAGCTCCCCAAATATATAAAACCAAAACAAATTTAATGACCAATTCCTCCAAATATAACAACTTTGTTCCATATGAATGTACAGGATGGTTCAAATTCGTGGAGCGCCATTGGGATCTCTGTAACGGTGTGAAATTGTCTTGTTTGTTGAGATGTAAACGAACCACTTTTTGAAATTTTTGGCAAATCTTTGAAAATAGGTAACTGAGTTATCACCGGAAAACTGAAAATGTCAAATTTCGATTTCATTGTCCCTAACTAAAACGGTCGGAAATGGACGGTTCCCGTTTTCACCTTCTATGGGCACTTTTTTTCGGAGAATCTGAATAGCACCCTAGATGTAGAAGCTATAAGGCTACTACTTTCTTATTTCTTATAGAGGCCATTGCATTTTTGAGATAGAGGACAAAAAATCATCATAGCCATGTTAATTCAGCAAGATCTAGTTACCTGTGGATGTTTTGTTGCGAAATTAACGTAAAACTTCTGATTTTGAAATTTTCCCTTGTAAATTTATGTAAGAGTATAGTGTCGCATTCCGTAATAAACCAGTATGGCGCCCACAAGAAATAAGAAAGTAGTGCATTGTATCTTCTACATCTATCGTATTATGGAAATTTTGATAACATATTCAGATTTTCCGAAAAAAGGGTGAAGAAGATGCTAACGGGAACCGTCCGTTTCCGACCGTTTAAGATAGGGAAAATGAAAACGAAATTTGACATTTTCAGTGTTTCTGTGATGTTTCAGATTTTTCAAAAATTTCAAAAGCGTTTTTTTTAGTCACAACTTCGCTCCCATATACCTAACCTACACTGTATCTCTCACAGTGGCGGAGATCCCAATGGTGAACCATGAATTTGAACCGCCCTGTAGGTGCACCGAAAAATGTTAAAATTAGCTCCAAATGGCATTTTGCACGTGCTTCAAATTTAGCGTATTTTTAAAGCGGAAGGTGGACTGTTCACGCGGATTGTCGAGAAGTGGCACGGCCGGTAGGGTCTACCGAGGAAACCTACAATTCATATAGAAAATTTGTATCAAATTGTTTACTCCGCATGACACTCAAGCTAAACTTTTCACACACTTTTGCGTCACGCAAACATCTCCACCATCACTTAACTTTACAACATTTCCTTTTGAGGAAACCCTTCCTCAAGATTAGCTACCTGATCTTCTTTGTGTAAGGCCCAAACAAGTCGGTAAAACCGAAAGTCAAATCGCCTGATTAGTCGCCTCTTACGAGATGCAATGTCTCTATAGCAGAGTTATTAGACGAATTCAATGAGCTTTTAGCAAGCTTTCTGTTTGTCTGGTGGTTAATTTATGTATGTATGTTCCTCTAGATCTAAAAATAATGGGTACACAAATAAACGCAAGTTTCGAGTATGAAGTTTGGAATGCTCCAAAGAAATCTTAGAAGAATTGATTTCTATCATTGGCGATTAGCAATTTACAATTTCCTGCAATGAAAGATGTACATCATGAAAGCGAGAATGTTTTTAGTTTACCTATAATATACTTGCTGAAGCAACAATTAATGATAAATTACAACAAATTCCTCCAATGTGCGTATGTTGAGCTTTCCCATATTCATATCGCATATAATAATGACGTGTTATTTATTGCATCTCATTTTTCATCTGCATATTTTAGGATTTTTATTGCTTTAACGAAATACCAAGTGCTCAGAGAATTTTTGATCTTTCGCGTTGTCTGAAGTGGATTCATTATGCATTCTTAGGTATGCCTAGGCTTTCCAGTTCGGACTGCAGTTCCTGACAATATTTTTGTGACGCTAATTTAATTAATATTTCAAAGGGCGACATACGCCGTCCCCCAGTTTATGCTTTATTACCTTAAAATTACGCTTAAATGAACCGTATCAGCTTAAGAGCCTGAAATAATGTCGTATTTCCTTTGATAATAATTTTGCAGTTGGACGTTTTGTGGGTAAAAAAAGAGAACGTCTCACAGTAAATTAAGGCGAACTCTATTAAATCATGTGTCAGTAATATACAAATATAAACTAGCGGATCTATGCGTTTTACCGGTTTATTGCGGGCGGTCTGTGTTAATCCATCAACTCAGCTCGTATGTTTTAATTAGAGCAAAAATGTTAGAAGCAGCAGAGCGGGCGACATCACAAATGATCCACGATGGTCGCACTTCAGCTGCTCAAGAACGCATTTATTACCACTATGCAAGATAATTACAATTTCCGTTGTATCAAAGCGCTGGTATTATAATATTTTCTGCCCTAATGATGCCGGCATTACAGAACTTACTAAATATAAATCTTTGTTTCAGGCGGATGTTTCCTACCGTAAGGGTATCCTTTACGGGTATTCGGGCCGAGCAGCGGTACGTTGTTATTTTGGACATCGTCCCCGTTGATAACAAACGCTATCGTTACGCTTATCACCGTTCCTCTTGGTTGGTCGCGGGAAAAGCCGATCCACCTGCACCCTGTAGGCTCTATGCTCACCCAGACTCTCCCTACACTGGAGAACAATTACGTAAACAAGTCGTCTCCTTTGAAAAAGTCAAACTGACGAACAACGAGATGGACAAGCACGGACATGTAAGTCGATCAAAAAAAGCCGAGCTCCATTTCACACGTTTCGCTTTCAGCTCGTTCTGAATTCCATGCATAAATACCAGCCTAGAATTCACCTCGTGAAAAGATCAGACAGTGCGTCTGGGCCAATAATCGATTTGGAGCAGGAAGAGTACAAAACATTCATCTTTCCCGAAACGGTGTTCACAGCTGTCACGGCTTATCAAAATCAACTGGTAAGTTCGCTGGGTTTACTTATACGTATAAACGAATAAAAATCTAATTGACAACTAGAATTATTTTAGGCTAATTATCCAGAGAATAATTTTAGATTCGAGTTGTCGTAAATTTCATTTTGCAACGCCGTTAAACTATTTTCGTACGGAAACTCAAAAGAAGTGTAAAAAGACAAGCTTTAGTCGTTAAATGTTAGGTGACATTGATGACCACCTTTATGCATACCAATATATTCCGCAGCTCGTGAATTGGTAAAATTGTCACTATGACCAACACCATTTATATAGCTATCAGCACTGGGTCCTGGGTGGGCTTCAGCATTGGCCTTTTGCCAAAGCGTCGAACTGCGAGCTTGTTAATTGAGAGATTGCTATTTGGTTAACAATATTTTGTTTAGACAACCTTAATCTAGTCAAGCATAAATTCTGTCACTTCTACAAGGTATATGATTAAACGCGTGCACCTGTTTGTAATCCTCGTTAAAAATTCAAGGTGTACACACATACGCAACTATTTGACTACCGTAATTTATAACTTATAGCAATGTTAACAAGAGGAGACTCTAGTAAAGATTGTGTTAAATCAAGTCGGTGAGATAAATGTAATTCTATAATTTATTTATTTCTCAATTAATCAAATAGGTTTCGGCACATTTCCTTTGAGACTTGGCAGCTCTACATTTTGTAGTAGGCGTTCGAATTTGTCAATGTCTTTTAGCATTTAAAATTTGTGTACCTACCTACTGTACGGTAGAGGAAAAGAACGCCGGAAGAATGTGCAATGGAAATATCGGTGGAATTTGCTATAAGCTTTATTTTAGATACTAATTGGGGTTGGAAAATTTATATCTACATTGTGACCCTTCAGATACATTTTCGGCATAGAGGCTATTCGTACTTACCCGCGAGACCACCCTTAATTTGTGAGTACTTGCAATCATTACAGTAGTGTACACCGCATCCTCGCTCCTTCATATTTTTAGGATGAATATGGCTTCATTTGGAACATATTGTAACTAAACATGTAAAATAAATACATAAGACTCTAAGCAGGCATAAAAAAATGAGTAACCTCTTTTTTTTACCAATAATTAATCAAAGTCTTCCACCAATTTCCACAAAATAGCTTAATAGTCACGGACCATATCCAAGATTCACATTAAATTTCGCAATTTCTGGTACTATCTTCAGTTTCTACGAGAACAGAAGAATCCTTCTCAAGTCAAATCTGCAAAATAATGTATTAGCCATCTTTGAATGAGTTGAATTTGGATAATAATCGGACTTCTCCCATAACCCCTCTTTTTACGCTTAATGCATAAGATTAAAATAAAAAGGAGTCAAAGATGGGGCACATAAATTCCAGAGTACTATTTAAATTCCGCAAATCAGAACTCCAACCTGTGTTGTAATGATGGAGGGTGGTCTTGTTTAAGCAAGCTTATCTTTTCGGTTACTCCCAAAAGGGATAGTCTCGCTTTCCATTTAAGGAAATTGCAATTTTATTCCTCCCCCATATCTACATTCCCTCAATTTTGAGATCACACGTATTTTTGGCACAATTTAATTACCTACATGTTTCATTGAAGTCACGGTTAGTAGACAGAATTAAGCGGAATTTTATGCAAGAAAGGATTTTTTTGGGGGTTAGAGCGCATTATTAGGGATTCGTTAGGCAGAGTTGGCGAAGGTACGGAATAATCCTGAATAACCCATCGACGTACTATAGTAGACCAAGGTCAAATCCTAGCCACGGCACCAACATTCTGTAATACTATAATAAAGAGTTAGGGAGTTTTGAGGACCATGTCATAACAGTATTCAAACAACGTCAAAATTCAGAAGACATGAAAAATAATCACATTTGGATTTATCCACAATAAGATAGTGGCAAAATACCATTGTAAACAAATTAAATTAAATACACATATTACGCCCGCACATAGAACAAACAGAAACATCCTGACCCATCCTACAAGACGATGGCAAACATCGTAACTGAATTTCGAAGTCACCAATAATTACCATACATCCTATGCTAATTACAGTAATTACAAAGGAAAACAAGGATACATTTACCTGTATTTACGAAAAAAAACAAAAGCAAATTTCGTTCTGCCGCCTCAGCTAAAATTTCGCCACGTTCCTTTTCTCTTTCGAGGAAAGCCAAACCATACACTTATGCACGATCAATAGCGAGGCTTTGTGTAATTTGAATTGCTGCACTTCCCGCGAAAATATTTCCAGTGACGTTTTTCTCCTTTTATAAAATGCATATCTGCGATAAATGATAACATTCAAAATCTGTCAGATATGCTACATCACAATAAATTGTGATTTTTACTTGCAATTAAAATTCGGATATATCGACAGAAATGTACGCCGTTTTTTTTTTTTGTAAGTTATGAACTATTTTTGAACAATTGGACAAAATTGCTTTTTATAAAGCAAGCGAGCCAGGCCAATTATTTTCAGGAGTTTCTCTGAAAAAAATTCGAAAAACGGTGAAATTTTGAAGAAAAAAGGTTATAACAGAGAAATCTTAAGGTGAAGGGTATAATATGTTACGTAAAACAGTACTCTTCAAGTACTTTCCAATTCCCCAATGAAATATGGAGTGTTGCATTAAAAAGCATGTGGCGACGGTAATTGTGGACAATTTTGCTCCTTGATGATCCGAGGGGTCTTAAATGCTACACCCTGTATACCGGACAATGGACAGACATGTCGCCTGCATTGGCTAGAGTCATCTGGAATGTAGATGAATGAACATGAATGTACATTTATTAACGAGCTGCTGGCTAGTTGATAATTTTGCTGTCTGTCCATCCCTCAGGTCCGTGCGTCTGCCCTTAATTATAAAGATATTTAAACGAAATTTGATACGTAGGCACTTGGAATAAAAGCAAATCTAACGCCGGCTTCAAATTTGGTTTTGCGCATGCGCAGATCCAATTTTATTATTTACGAAGGATTTAAATGAAATTTGATACACATATAATATTATATTAGAATAAAATCAAATCTAACACCAGGTTCAAAATTTGGTTACTGAATCATGCTTCTGCATATTTATGTCCCGGTCAGGAATATCCCGTGTACGGACTTGCGGCATTTGGACGGTAGGAAATACAAACATACATATACATACAGGGTGATAATACTAACTCATTACACTCGAAAACGGAAGTTAGAATTCATTAAAGCAAACAAGTTTTCTTAGTACCAATTTTTTAATTTCGCCCCTGATCGAAGTTATGGGCGTTCATTTTCAGGACCTATGTATTAAAAAAAAACAAAAATGTTCAAAACTATCTTTCAACTCTCTAAAACATTTGTATTTGCAAAAACTTTTTATTTTTTTAAACAATAGAATTGCGATCGATTCAAAATTTCAAAAACACATTTTTTGATAACCGCCCCATCGACTTTTGAAAGTAAACCATAAAATCCTTACAGTAGGTACTACAACATTTGTCCTAAACATTTTTTTCAAGTTATCCTGTGAAGCGGAGGGGGCATTTTGAAAATAGAAATTGAAAATAAATTGAAAAAGTGTTTAGGACAAATATTGTAGTAGATAGTGTAGGGATTTCATAAATGGTTTACTTTCAAAACTCGTTGGGGTGCTTATCAAAAAATCTTTTTTTGAAATTTTTGAACAATGGCTATTTTATTATTTAAAAAAAAAATAATTGTAAATACAACTGTTTTAAAGAGCTGAATGATAGTTTTGAAAATAACGTTTGTTTTTTTTTCATTGGTTCTGAAAATAAGAGTGCTGCGCTAATAACTTCGAACCGGGGAAAATTGGAAATAAGAAAAATTATTTGTTTGAATGAGTTCCATTTTCGGGTGTAACGACTTAGTATTATCTAACACTCTGTACAGTGTAGTGAAATGGTGCATGAAAAGTAGTCGAAGTGGAAAGTTGTATTGTAATTGTCTATAGTGGTGTATTTTATTTTTTTTTGCAACCAGGGGGCTGCCGGGCTCCAGTTTGATTATCAAATCGTAGTAAAGAAAAAATTATGATTGACTAGTTGTCCATACCGCCCCCCCCCCTTTCATTTATATTTTTGTTGTATTTTCCAAAAATGACTGATTTCTCCCATATTTCAACACTCTTTTGCGTGGAAACTATAGGTACGACGTACAAAAAAATGTTTAAGGTCATTTTCTCCTTTTTAGTTTAGAATAGAACCACATTTTACGTAAATAGCTTGCTTCTCAAGTTATAATCTGAAATCCTCTTAAAAACATTATTTTTATTGTTTTTTTTATTTCCCATTGTTGACAATTTCAGATTCGTGTACAGCACACCAAAAACATAAAATAAACCACTAAAAACAATGAAACCAAAACTTTCCCCTTTCTACTACCGTTTGACTGGACTAATATACAGTGTCCACGGATTGAGTGCATAAGGTGTATATGACAATTTTTTTAGAGTTGGATCTTAATGTTGTGAGGATCGCTCTTGCTTAGTCTCAAACTAAGATATTGAAAAAATGAGCCAAATCAATTAATATACAGGGTGTTTTTTGTCAAATTCTAAAAATTAGTCAAGAGTAAACTGTCTTTATTTTAGCAGGTATAACAAAAAAGTGTTAAGAAAAGTTGTTTGTATTTAAAAGTTATGGAAGACTTTCAATTCTCATACAAATCTGCCTACTTTGATTTTTTCCATCGCCATCCAATAGTTTTGAACTCATGTTTGTAACAAAAATCAAAGCAGGCTGATTTATATGAAAGTTTAAAGTCTTCTATATCCTTTTTTAATACATTTTTGGTATATCTACTAAAATAAAGCCAGTTTGCTCGTGACTAATTTTTTGAATTCGGCAACAAACACCCTGTGTATTAATCTGTACGAATTTTTAAAAAGCTTGAAAAGCCACGAACCACCAATTATAATATGTAACTTTGATAAAATTCGCACTAGTCGCTAGGGTCACGCTTCAAATTCGAATATCTCGAGAACGGAATGTCGGTACTAG